GGTGTCACCCGCCTCCCCTCCAAAAAGAGATCTGAAGGTCCTCCCCGGGAAGAGCTGTGGGAATTTTTTTAACCTCATTGTCATGGCTGATTGCACTCCAGTGGGCGCGCAGAGCGCTCCCTCCCGCCTGCCTGTGACAGCTCTTACCTCCCCTCCTTCCCTACCCTCCTCTCCAGGAGGTGAGAGGTGACCCGGAACCCCGTAATGCCCCCATCTGTATCCTCCACCTCCTTCTGCTAACCCCCTCCTAGGGGCTGGAGTTATAAAATAGCGGGCTCTTGCCTTGCATGAGGGCACTTGCAAGAGGGCACTTGCCTTGCATGAGGCGGACCTGGGTACCATCCCCCGCATCCCATATGGTCCTCTGAGCTCCGCCAGGATTTAATTCCTGAGTGCAGAGCCAGGAGTGACCCCCTGAGCATTTCCAGGTATAGCCATCCTCCCTCCCCCCCCAAAAAAAACTCTCTCCTAGTTCTACCCCACTAGGTAATATTCCGATCCTACAACTCAGGGTAGAGTGGGATCAGAATATTCAAGGAATCTGAACAGCATACACAAGGCCTGAGTTGGATTCCAAATACTTCCAGGGGGCCCTGACCCCCTCCCAGCTTTGAACTATGCTCTTACTCCTGGGTTTGGGTCCTGAAAAAAAAAAAGGCCAGAGACATAGTACAGCAAGTACATGCCATGCACCCTGGCCTGGTTTGACCCAGCACCCCACTCGACGAGAACCCCAGGAGCATGGAGAGTCGAGGTAACCCCTAAGCTCCACAGCCACTATATAATGACTGTTTTGTGTCTTCTCTCACTGAAGTAACTGCTTCAAAGCAAGCTTGTTGGTAGAGAGGAAGAGATGGTTCTGGTGTCTGGTTTGTGTTTGTTTGTTGTTGGACAGCGGGTGAACTGTGCTCCCTCAGAGCAGCGGTTAACTTGCAGCGAGATGGAGATGTCAAATACAGATGACTGCATTGCTGAGTAGATCTTCAGGGACCTCCCCGGAAACCTGCCAGAACTCGGGGTGTCCCCTCCCCAGCCCCCCTGTAGCTTGCCCCAGTTAAACCGCTTTTCCACGTGCACGGCTGTTTTCCCTGGGATAACACGTGTCCTCTGAATACATGCCAATGTCATTTGCTTAGAAACAAACTGGAAATATCACCACAGTTCTGTGGTGACTGCATCTCCCACCCCACAGAATAATTCAGTCCCTTTCGTTCTCAGCAGAAAAAACCGCTTACTCAGTGTTGCAACTCATGGGGTGCAAAAGGGAACCCTTTGTATTAATATTATTAGAAAGTCTTTGTCCGCTATAGATTTCATAATGCGTTGTTCTATCTTGTTAAACATAACTGAGCAGAGGCCAGATAATACAGCAGATAAGCTTCTTGCCTTAAATGCAGCTGAGCTAAATCCAATCCCCTGTACCCCCTGTCTCGTCCCCCAAGCCCTGCCAGGAGTGATCCCTGAGCATGGAAGTCAGGAATAAGCCCTGAGTACCATGGATGTTATCCCAAAAAGCAAATAACAAACAAACAGAAATAACCAGAGGAAACCAGAGGTGAGCTCTGTTCCCCCAGAATCTAGACTAACGGTCTTGCTGGACTGGTCAGCTACAGTCCTGCAAACCCTCCTGCTGGCTCCCAGCCAGCCAGTCCTTTGAACCCTTTCTAAGCTCATCACCTTCCTGACCCGCACAGCCCTTTGCAGGGGAGAGGTCCAGAGGGGAAGGCCCTGAACAGCCACTCGGCCATGGGGCAGGAGACTCACGCCGTGGACATTGAGGAAAACACACCAGAGGCCTCTGCTCGCCACATTAAACCCACGTGTGTTTATTTAGAGTGGTTTTACTTAGAAGATAATTAAGATGATCCACTTAAGATGATCAAGATGATCACGTATGATCAATGTATAAAGAATAATTTCCATCTCTTATTGTTGTTTCACTCCTGTTTTTTTATTTCCTCAAGGAACACTTTTTTTGTTTGTTTGTTTTTTTGCTTTTTGGGTCACACGTGGTGATGCACAAGGGTTATTCCTGGCTCTGCACTGAGGAATTACTCCTGGCAGTGCTCAGGGGATCATATGGGATGCTGGGAATCAAACCCGGGTCAGCCGCGTGCAAGGCAAACACCCTACCCACTGTGCTATCACTCCAGCCCACAAGGAACACTTTTTTTGTTTGTTTGGTTTTTTGCTTTTTGGGTCACACGTGGTGATGCACAGGGTTATTCCTGGCTCTGCACTTAGGAATTACTCCTGGCAGTGCTCAGGGCATCATATGGGATGCTGGGAATCAAACCTGCATCGGCCACATGCAAGGCAAACGCCCTACCCACTGTGCTATAACTCCAGCCTACAAGGAACACTTTTAAAAAAAATGGTAGGGAGACATCTCCCAAGTGGTTCAGGAGACCCCTACTGTGGATTCTTCACCCACCAAGTGAGTGGTCCTATGCAAGAGCCTGCAGATGGAGGGCCTGGAATTACTGGGCTGCCCCAGCAAGGCTTGGTGGTCTCCAGGGTTGTACTCTGCAGTGCTTGGGGGAATCATGTGGTGCTGGGGATTGAACCCCGGGCCAGCTGCATGCAAGACAAGCGCCTTAAGCACTGCACTATCTCTCTGGCCTAGAACACCTTTTACTTTTGGGGGGTGGGGTGGGGTGCCACACCTGACTGTGGTCAGGGCTTACTCCTGGCTCTGAGCTTGGGGATCATTCCTAGTAGGGCTCAGGGGACCAGACGTATGCTGGGAAATCCAAACCTAGTTGGCTGTGTGCAAGGCAAGACCCCTGCCAACTATACTATTTCTCTGGCCTAAGATATGCAGGTTTTTTTGCTTGTTTGTTTGTTTGTTTGTTTGTTTGGAGAGGGAGGTGGAGGGGGACACTACTGGCTCTGCACTCAGGAATTATTCCTTGGCTGGCTTGGGGAATCCTATGGGATACCAGGGATCAAACCCAGGTTGGCTGTGTGTAAGGCAAATGAGTTACCCTTTACTTTCTCTCTGGCCCCGTGTGATATGTATTGTTAACACAATGCTTCCAGTTAACAAGCCATCAAGGGATTAGCCTGTGTCCCTTCTGTGTTCTCTGAATCTGCCCCCAGCTCTGCAATGCCCCTGTAATTCACACCTGCGTGTGACCTTCTTTTCTTGTCTTCAAAGAGCACATGCAATCCAATTTAGGGTGGTGGACTTATGTTGCACGTCTAAACCATGAGCAATGCTTTTAAACTATATTTTGAGGAACAGATTTAGATTTCCAGGAAAGATGCAAAGATGGTCCAGAGTTCCGGTCTCCACAGCCTCCTTCTACCCAGCTTCCCACAGTAGCAATATCCTGTAGGGTCACAGCACATCTGGCAAGGTCAACTGACCAATATAGATAAATTCTCTTTGACTAAGGTCTGGATTTTATTTAGGTTTTCTTTCTTGTCATCTGACTTCCTTTTCTGTCCCAAGGGCCCATCCAGACACCTGATTGCCTCACAGGACAATCCTCAGATTTTTCTTTGATTATCTTGATACTTTCAAGGACTGATCGGATGTTTTGTAGCATGTCCCTTGATTGGCATTTTGACATATCCACCGGAAATGTCACAGTCCAAACCAAAGGACTTTCACCTCTCAGTCTTGCACTCTGAAAAAAATTTTAATTTTCACAAGAATTACACCTGCATGTGAGCACAAAGAATGACAGAAGTGACGGTATCCTAGTTCTCATTTTCCATCCTGGTGTCCCGAAGGGCACCAACAGTTCCTGGATGCTGGGGCTGGCTTCCCAAACGCACGTTCAGTATAGAAGCCAGTGTTCTCTGAATCTGCCCCCAGAGAGGATGCATTGTTTAGGAAAAGATGAGTTTTTAAGTACCTGACTGGAAGCTTGCATATCTAACATTAAAACACACATGCGGGTCGGAATGATAGTACAGTGGGGAGGGCACGTCCCTTGCATTCAGCAGATCCAAGTTCGATCCCAGGTGACCCATATGGTCCTCAGAGCATCAGCAGGAGTGATCCTGAAAAGTAAAGGAGTAACGCCAGAGTACCACCAGGTATGACCAAAAGACAACAACAAAAAAAAAAAAGAAAGAAAAGAAAAAAAATTAACAACACATATGCTTGCATTCATGCCCGGAAAGAGATTTTGTTTTGTTTTTTTGCTGAGAATATCTCAGTGTGACATTGCCTGAATCGCTGGTACTCTGTGACCCTAAGAAAGCAGGCCAGCTTTGAGTCATTCTCCGTGGGAAATTCTGTCCTGGCTGTCAGCTGCCAAGGAGAGAGAGAGCCTGCAGGCTGTTCCCTGGGGGCGCATCCAGTGACCATCTCAGCTGGGCCCGCAGTGCCCCCTGCTGGGCACAGCTCCACCCTCCATGATGCTCTTGTGTGTTTTTCTCACCTCCTGGCAAGTTAGGGACCCCCATCATCCTTATTCCCCACAGTACACTAACCTAACCCACATCATCCTTATTTCCCACAGTACACTAACCTACCTCACAAACATCATTGGACCATCGGACCACCCCTGGGTAGTCCCAAATGAACAAAAAATGATAATATTGATATATTGGATGACTTTAGAGATGAAACAATATTTGATCCTAAAAGTGCTTAGTCCAGTAAAGAGTCCCGAGTTCATGGGCCAGAAAGATAGTACAGTGGGGAGGGCACTTGGCCAACCCAGATTCTATCCCTGGCCCCCGTTATGGTCCCCTGAGCACCGCCAGGAGTGATCCATGAGTGCAGAGCCAGGAGTAAGCCGTGAGCCCTGCTAGGTGTGACCGCTCCCCTGGCCCCCTTACCCCCACCTAGCCTCACCCTTGGGGCATAAAGAAAAAGAGTTCGTAGTTGAGCCCAATGCCAATGCTGTGTCTGAAGCCCTGATAATACTCCAGTTACTTTGGCTGGCATGGGAAGGTGGAACTGCTCAGAGCAGGAGATGGTCTCTATGGCCATGTCCCCTGACCTTCTTTGTCCCCGTGTTTCAGAAAACCTTGGAAAAATGTATACAAGTCACGAAGACATCGGGTACGACTTTGAAGATGACCCCAAGGACAAAAAGGCGCTGAAAGCCCACCCCGACATCGATGGCGGCTGGGCCTGGATGATGGTCCTCGCCTCCTTCTTCGTGCACATCCTGGTCATGGGCTCCCAGATGGCGCTGGGCGTCCTCAACATGGAGTGGCTGGAGGAGTTCCACCAGAGCCGCGGCCTCACGGCCTGGGTGAGCTCCCTCAGCATGGGCATCACCCTCATCGTGGGTACGTTCCCCAGCCCCCAGAACCCCAGATGTGGCCCTGGGATGCTTTCTCTGAGCTGGCTGGGCTGATGCTGGACACTCTTCTCTGGCGGTCAGAGGCATGTGACTTAGGATGTTGGGACGGTTCTATGGCAGTCACCGCTACCCTCCTTCTCCAGAGCTTTTCCCCACTGTTCAAATGAACACTGGGTCCCCATTAACCAAAACTCTCTCTTCTTGAGCCCGGAGAGATATATCTATCTGTGTGATAGATCCGGCATTGATCATGTGTGTGTCCAAGCCTGGTTTGATTTCCCAGCACCACACATGGTTCCCTGAGCACCATCACCATGGCCCAAAAAACACCCCCCCCCCAACACACACACAATAAAAAGCATCAGTGTATGTGGGGGGAGGCAATCTATGCTTCTTCCAATGATTTGCTATTCATGACTAAGGACTTGAATCCAGTTCAGAGTTTTGTTGATCTTGGCCAGTGCCCAGTCAATGTTATTTGGGATAATACCAAAGGATGACATCAATAAGCACGGTAGTGCTATTGATTGGAAACCAGGACAGAGTGTTATTTCTCAGGATGTGTTGGTGGCTGTCTACTTAGCAATGAGAATGACTGCTGAAGGAGTTCTAGAATGAAATCGTCTTAATTGAAAGAGGAGTGTAAGAGAATGGTGGACGGGCCATTAATGAACTGACTCCATCCACCTGCCCTGTTCAAACCGGGACTGTTTGTTATAGGAGAAGCAAGGGAGGGAGAGAGCTGCCTGGAGGGTGGCTGATACCACTTGGCTTCCCGACTGCCACATAATGTTCCCCTGAGCCCTGAGGAGAGTGATCCCTACCACAGTTGGGTGTAAGCCTGGAGCACCATGGGGCGTGACCCAAATCTCCCTTCCCCTGCCCTAAAAAGTACCTCAGAGGAGTCAGAGGCCACAAAAGGCTGCTTCCTCACCCTACAGAGTGTCCCTGGCACTGTCAGCCCCGGCTCTGCAGGTGAAGCCTGAGCCCTGAGTGCAAATCCCGGGATGGCACCCCAGTAGTGCTATTGGACTTCAGTGCCTGTCTGTGCCTACAAAAGGCAGGGAGGGGGCTGGAGCGATAGCACAGTGGGTAGGGCATTTGCCTTGCATGCAGCCGACCCAGGTTCGAATCCCAGCATCCCACATGGTCCCCTGAGCAGTTCCAGGAGTCATTCCTGAGTACAGAGCCAGGAGTAACCCCTGAGCATCGCCGGGTGTGACCCAAAAAGCAAAAAAAAAAAAAAAAAAGGCAGGGAGATGCAGTGTCCAGGGGCCTCACCCTGGACAGTCACAACGAGGGGCCATGCCAAGAGAACCGGAAGTTCAGAGGAGTTGTTCGCCTCTGAACTGTGGGCAAGACCCAGATTCCTGGATACGTGCCCCTTGCCGGTGACCCGGAACTCATAGAGAGGGCGGAAGTGTGGACTCTGCCTACTGCCCCCGCCACCCGGGAATCTTCATCAGAGAATGCAGGGGTCTGCTTTCTCCTCCCCCACCACTGCCTTAGGCTCTGTGGGGGGCTCTCCTTCATTTGGGGCTTCTGCTGTCCCACACTTCCCTCCCAGGGTGCGCAGCCATCGACACTGGTTGGGTCATGGGGCAGATTTAGAGCATCGTAGCTCTGACTTCCTTCCTGAGTGGAGGTTTGTCTTGCTTGGTTGGTGGGGGCGGCGGGGGGGGGGGGCACCCGTTTCTGCTTTGCCCTGCCGGCACTGTGTGTGTGTCCCCTAAGGCTAACTCCTTTATCAGTCAAGTGCTTATATCGAGGAAGCCCTAATGCATTCCCCTTGCTCTCAGGCTCCTACCGACTCTACACTGTAGCTTTCTGGGGTGCCCACATTCTTTCTGAAAGCTGCAGACAGGCACAAGCTCACATCGGGCCCTTCTGCTGCATGGGAAGTGGTGTGGGCCCTGCTGGCTTTTCCAGCTTACAAGGCTGCTGAACAGGGCTAGAGGGATGGTCCCGCAGGGTGGACACTTGCCTTTTATATGTGACCATCCCCGATGGTCATCTGTTCCCCGCCAGGAGTGACCCCTGAGCATCGCCGGATATGGGCCCCAAACAAAACAAAACAAAAGGCCACTGAACAGTGAACCAATGAGTTAGTGTTTTTCTCTTCCTTAGCCACTCTTTTGAGTAGTGACATTGTCATTACATTAGGCAAATAAACATTTATAAAGAAGCCAAAGGCGTAGACCTTCGAGTCATGGCTTCTGAATTTCAGTGGCTCCGAATCCCCTCGGGCATATGTATCTCTATAGTATACCTAGATGTATCAGTGGTTGTATACATTACTTGGTTTATATAACATACGTTAATTTATAGCAAGTGCTTATTTTACTTTATTTGTGGGGTGTACCAGAGCCAGTGGTATTAGAGCTTACTCCTGGCTCTGTGTTTCGGGGTCACTCCTGGAGGGGCTCAGAGGCCCATATGGGATGCTGGGGATAGCATGGGGTCAGCTGAATGCTAAAGAAGTACCTTGACCACTGTACTATAGCTCTCTGACCCTCATGGATTTATTTTATATTACATGGTATATTCATAATGATTTTATTTGCTACATTAAGTTTATTCTATGATATCTATTTACTACATTTACTAACTTTCTATAATGTAACAGGGATAATCAATGTCTTTTTTTTTTTTTTTGCTTTTTGGGTCACACCTGGCGATGCACAGGGGTTACTCTTGGCTCTGCACTCAGGAATTACTCCTGGCGGTGCTCAGGGGACCATATGGGATGCTGGGAATCGAACCCCGGTTGGCCGCATGCAAGGCAAACGCCCTACCCGCTGTGCTATCTCTCCAGGCCCCCAATGTCTTTTTTGTCTTTTTTTGATGCTTTTTAAACCTGGCTGAGTTTGAGACCCCAGGGATACACCAGGCAATGCTGGGACCACACCATGGTTGGAGGGGTTGCGGGGGGATCACACCCAGACTTTGAATAGCAGAGGCTTGTGTTCTGCTACTTGAGTTACTCCCTTACCCTACATTTGTGTCTTTATCGCTTTTAGGATGATTCAAAATTATTATACTACCAAGACCAAAAAAAAAAAAATACCCAGCAAACAAAATAGCATTTTATTAGCAGATTGTATCCAAATATACTCATAAGCATAATTAGGTCTTTAACGAGAAATTTTATTTGAGATTGGGCTAAAAGAGGAACCTCCGTGGAAAGTTTATCAAATGTATGAAATCTCCTTCATCCCTCTCGGAGAACCCGGCAAGCTACCAAGAGTATCCTGCCTGCACAGCAAAGCCTGGCAAGCTCCCCATGACGTATTCGATATGCCAAAAACAGTAACAACAAGTCTCACAATGGAGACGTTACTGGTGCCCGCTCGAGCAAATCAATGAACAATGGGAGGACAGTACTACAGTACTACAGTGCTATGAAATCTCCAATAGACCCACCTAAACAGTCGACAGACCTATTAGACAGTAATAGGTTTTGTATGTCAAGCAATAGTGTCATACTTACCAAAATCCAACAGTGATCAAAACCAAGATGAGGGCCAGAGAGGGGGTACAGTGAGTCAGGCACTTGATCCTGCACACAGCTGACCTGGGTTCAATCTTTGGCACCCAGTAAGATCCCCAAGCCCTGCCAGAACTCATTCATGAGCACAGCCAAGAGTATGCCCTGAGCACAGTTGGCTGTGGTCCCAAACAAACAAAAAAACTAACATGAGGTTTAAAATATGTGTCTTTGGGACTGGAGCGATAGTACAGCGGGTAGGGCGTTTGCCTTGCACGCAGCTGACCCAGGTTCGATTCCCAGCATCCCATATGGTCCCCCAGCACTGCCAGGAGTAATTCCTGAGTGCAGAGCCAGGAATTAACCCTTGTGCATCGCTGACTGTGACCCCAAAAAGGCAAAAATAACTCTATAAATACATAAAAACAAAATATGCGTCTTCCTGAGTATTGAGCATAATCTCATTATGTTGCTATGACTTTGTGGTTAAGGAATCATTGATCAGGAGGCAAGTGTTAAGGCCAATGTCGGCAGAAATTACTACCAAAAAAAAAAAAAAAGGAAGAGAACAAAGAGGGTTGGCAAGAACCAGAACTACACAGCAAGAAACCATTCATTTGGACTTAAATAATTAAGTTTTTAATGGGGCCAAGTGAGCTGGAGGTCAGGTGACCGGCACCTCTTGTAGGAAACATAGCAAGCACCTCTGTGCAAGCCTGAGGGACCCATCGGGACCCCCTAGCAGTCTCTCGTAAGTGTGAATCAGTGACAGTTCTTTCTTGCTGGGTTTGCTCAGGGCTCTGAAGCTTGGAGGACCCCAGATCCCTCTAGATCTGCAGCCAAAAACTTGCTTGTTGTACTATCTCTCTGGCCCCAGTGGAGTCAAGAGCTTACATGTGGGCCCAGAGAGCTCCCACAAGGTGCTGGAACACAGGGTTTGGTTCCATCGATCCCAGGTACTAAGGCAGCTCCAAGCACCACTAGGTGTGACTCCCCACCCCCCAAACAAAAAGACTCAAATGCCTAGAGAGACTGAACGAGTCATGTTGATGAGGTGGGGGCAGGCGTCAGCCTAAAGGGAAGGGTAGTGACTGCGGCAAACTAGAAGAAGTGGGGAGAGGCAGCTAAAAGTGGCAGCTTCTGCCCAATCCTGGCTCAGGTCCACCGTGGGAAGATATTCTGGGCTGCCATTGGGGTGTTTTCATTCTCTCTCTTGGTTTTCAGATGTTGGCAACTGATTCCAGATGCTTTTGATTTTTTTTCTTTTTGGGTCACACCCGGTGATGCACAGGGGTTCCTCCTGGCTCTGCACTCAGGAACTACTCCTGGCGGTGCTCAGGGGACCACATGGGATACTGGGACTCGAACCCGGGTTGGCCACGTGCAAGGCAAACACCCTACCCTCCGTGCTATCACTCCAGCCCCAATTCCAGATGCTTTTAAACAGGCACCCACACACTGCTTCATGCTCCGAGAGCACTCATTCACAAGTCCTTCTTCCAGTAAGACAGTGAACAATTCTTCTGAGGGCGGGAGGAGGGAAAGGTCTGTTTCAAGTTTCTTTAAAAACCCGCCACCCTGTGCTCTCCAGTAAAATGATGAAGCAAATCTCTGCCACGCCAGACTGAGATGCTGGACAAAGGGTGTTGTAGCTTAACGCCTCTTAGCGCTTTGGTCCTCGTTCTCGGCCTTTCTCTGAGGCTTTGCTAGGATGGCCTGGAAAGACAACGTCCTCCATCATCTCCTTTTCTGTGTTCCGTGACAGGACCTTTCATTGGCTTATTCATCAGCACCTGTGGCTGCCGACGCACGGCCATCGTCGGGGGCCTGGTGCATGCCCTGGGCTGGGTGCTGAGTGCCTCCGCGGCCAACGTGCATTATCTCTTCGTGACTTTTGGAGTGGCAGCAGGTAAGCACTTGGGTTTCGGCATGCCGCTACCTGTTTCTGTGTATGTTTGGGCAATGAACTGAATGCCAAGAAGAAGAAACTCATTCTAAGTTTTTTTCTTTCTTCCTTTTTACCCCAGTCTCACCCTCTACTCCTCTACTCCAAGATATGTTTAAACATATAATTATATATTATATTATGTATACATAATAAATATATTTATATCAAATTATGTAAGGGCTGGAGCAATAGCACAGCAGGTAAGGCGTTTTCCTTGCATGCGCCCGACCTGGTTGACCCAGGTGCGATTCCTCTGCCCTTCTCAGAGCCCAGCAAGCTACTGAGAGTATCTCACCTACACGGCAGAGCCTAGCAAGCTACCCGTGGCATATTCGATATGCTAAACACAGTAACATGTGTCACAGTGGAGATGTTATTGGGCCCGCTCGAGCAAATCGATGAACAATGGGAGGACAGAGACAGTGATAATGATTATATCAAATTATATATTATTATGTATATGGGTGGGCTGGAGAGATAGCACAGTGGGTAGGGCGTTTACCTTGCAAGCTGCTGGCCCAGCTGAGCCGGGTTCGATTCCTCCGCCCCTCTCGGAGAGCCCGGCAAGCTACCGAGAGTATCTCACCCGCACAGCAAAGCCTGGCAACCTACTCGTGACGTATTCGATATGCCAAACACAGTAACAACAAGTCTCACAATGGAGGCGTTACTGGGCCTGCTCGAGCAAATCGATGAATAATGGAGGACACACACACACACACACACACACACACACACACACACACACACACAGTATATGGGTCAGAAGGATAATACAGTGGGTAACCCAGGTTTACATGCAGCCAACCCAGGTTTGATTTAATTTTTTTTTCTTTTTAATTTGCTTTTTGTGTCACACCCAGCGATGCACAGGGGTTATTTCTGGCTCTGCACTCAGGAATTACTCCTGGCGGTGCTCAGGTGATCATATGGAACGCTGGGAATCGAACCCGGGTCAGCTGCATGCAAAGCAAACGCCCTACCCACTGTGCTATTGCTTGAGCCCCAGGAATGATTCCTGAGCACCGAGCCAGGAGTGAAGCTTTAAGCACAACTGGGTATTGACCACATGCCCTTCCCATCCCCCAGGAAAGTATTTTAAAAGACATATACACGTAGGGTCTATACCCAGCCATGTGCAGAGGTGGGGTGTACCCAGCAGTGATGGGACACAGAAGATCAAACTCAGGGCCTCACGCATGACAGCCATAAGCCACTACCACGGGAGCCAACCCCTGGAGACACTTTTATTTTTGGGGGGGGAGGGGTTGGGTCACACCTGGCGATGCACAGGGGTTACTCCTGGCTCATGCACTCAGGAATTACTCCTGGCGGTGCTCAGGAGATGCTGGAAATCGAACCTGGGTCGGGCAGCGTGCAAGGCAAACGCCCTACCCGCTGTGCTATCACTCCAGCCCCAGGAGACACTTTTTAACAGAAAGCTCTTGTACAATGCCAACTGACAATTGCTTTTGTCTCCCTCTCGGGACTGAATCGATTCCATTTCCCCTTGCCTGGTTCAAAGGAGAGTTTCTTTCTCCTCGGAAGGTAGGTAATCATTCCAGGTAGAATGACTCGCCCACGTAGTAAGGAAATAACATTCTCTTAATTAATAACTGCAGGATAGAGCATGAATCACAGCCTAATCATTTTCTCCTTCAGTCCCTTTCAAATGAATGAAACAGCAGTAAGCCCCGCACACGGGGAGACACTGGGAAGTAGAAAACAGGAGGGCAGCTAGAATGGCACTCCTGGGGTAGGACGTGGTGCCAGGCAGAGAGATTTGAATATCTGCTCTGCAGACCAACCTCCCGGTTTCTATTTCCTTTATCCACGGGTCACAGAATTCCCAGTGATAAGTCATTCTTTACTGACACAAATGTATTTCAAGGAACCACATGCAGGACAATTTTTTTTCCACCTAGAGTGACTCCCCCACCCTCACCCCCCACCCACCAGTGAATGCCACATTTGCCGGTGGTGCTGGAATAAGAGCTGAAAGTGAGAGTTTGAATTTGTCACTTATTCCCCCCCACCGCCCCGCACCCCGGGCACATTTTATCTGCATGTCTTTGGGGGTAAATCACAGAACCTATTTATTCCTCGGCTGCAAGATGGGATAATTAAGAGTGCTTGGTTTATAGATTGTTGAAATGAGTATATAAATTATATTAAATGATATTGGTTATATTAAATTAATTATATAATATTAATTATGGGCTGGAGCGATAGCACAACGGGTAGGGTGTTTGCCTTGCATGCAGCCAACATGGCCAACCCGAGTTCGAGTCCTCCGCCCCTCTTGGAGAGCCCGGCAAGCTACCCAGAGTATCTCGCCTGCACGGCAAAGCCTGGCAAGCTCCCCGTGACGTATTCAATATGCCAAACACAGTAACAACAAAGTCTCCAATGGAGACGTTACTGGGCCCGCTCGAGCAAATCGATGAACAATGGGAGGATAGTGACGTAGTGACATATAATATTAATTATATCATCAATTTACATTGATTATATAAATCTGTATAAAGAAATTAGAGCCAGAGCAATAACACAGCAGGCAAGGTGTATTCTTTGTATGCAACTGACCCAAGTTCAATCCCTGGCACCCCATACCTGTGTCTTCTAGGGAGTGATCCCTGAATGCAGAGCCAGGAGTAAGGCCTGAGCACTGCCAGGCATAACCCCAAAAGAAAAATAAAGAAACAAAGAAATTGACATGGTGCTTAGAATATAACAAAGTGTCCATATGATAGTATCACCGTATCTCATTTTTATTATATTGTAAGCTGAAGTTTATGTTTCTAGTAGAAGATGGTGAATTCAAATATCTTCTGACCATGTAATCTGACAAGTTGATTCTTGTGGGTGTACATCTATTCACACACACAACACACACACACACACACAAAACCATTTTCTTTGAAGCATAGTCTGAAAACCATCAAAGGGCCTGATAATAGCTCTTTTTTTTTCCTCAGGGGGCAGGGGACACATACAACTGTGCTCAGGGTTTATTCCTCAGGGTTTGTCAGGTCTTGAACCCAGTCAGCTGCATTTGTAAGGCAAGTGCATTACCCACTGTACAATCTCTCCAGCTCATGATAAAAAATTACAGTTTTTTTTTTGGTTGTTATTGTTTGGGGGTCACAACCCAGCTGTGTGCTGGGCTTACTCCTGGCTCTGCACTCAGGGATTGGTCCTAAGGATAGTCAGGGAACCATATGGATGCCAGGGATCAGACCCACTTGGCCCGGTGCAAGACAAGCACCCTACCCACTGTATTATCACTCTGACCCCTTGTGATAATAACTCTTAAGAGTGGTGTAAGATGTTTCGCCTGAGTTTATGAGAAACACAGCAGCTCAGTAACTGGAGCTAGCGCTGGGATTTTTGTATTATAGACGAGGAAATAAATAATCCTTCTGCTGAGATTAAGGAACTAAATGGGATCTCTGGACAGGTCCTGGAGGTCCTCTAGATCCTGGTCTGGTGATGTTACGTTATAGGGACAATGACTTGATCCTAAAAAGCAAGACTTTCTCGTCATTTAGAGATTTGGGGGGGAAGGGGTGTAGAGTTTGGTCCACACCCAGAAGCCCTTAAGGGCTCCTGGTTCAGTGCTCAGGAACCTCCCAGCAGTGGTTGGGGATCCATTTGGTGCCAAGTATCAGACCCTCTCCTCCCCCATGCAAAGCATATGCTAAGCCCATTGAATATTGATCTACCTCTGGAGAGATGGCCCAGCTATAGGGTGTTTGCCTTGCACACAGCCGGCCTGGCTGAGCCAGGTTCGATTCCTCCACCCCTCTCGGAGCGCCCGGCAAGCTACCAAGAGTATCTTGCCGCACGGCAAAGCCTGGCAAGCTCCCCGTGACATATTCAATATGCCAAACACAGTAACAACAAGTCTCACAATGGAGACGTTACTGGGCCCGCTCGAGCAAATCGATGAACAACGGGGGAATAGTGCTACAGTGCTCTCTGGCCCTCATTTGGGGGTTTCCAGGGCTACATTCCTCACTTGAATGACATTGTATTCATGGCAGTTCATTGTTTATTGATCCATTTAATATTATCCACCTGGTTTCATTAATGCATCCATTCCCTCATTTGCTCAACAAATATTTATGGGTGTGAAGAAGCAGGAAGAAACGCAAGAGGCTGGGGCAAAGGAAGTGTGTATGGATATAGTTTATTGAGCCCACTCTTATTCTTTTGTTTTTTAAGGTATATTATAGAGTACACTTCATTAATTTTTCTTTTACATTCTTTTCTTTGGGGGAGACACTCCCAGCAAGGCTCAGGGACCCTCGAGAGCTTGAGCTATGCTAAGACGGATATGAGGAGTTCTGGGATTGAACTCAGGGCCTTCACCTTGCAAGGCCTCTATAATCAGTTGAACACCATGCCTGACTCTTATTTTTTTTAATTTAATTTAATTTTTTGCTTTTTGGGTCACACCTGGCAATGCTCAGGAGTTACTCCTGGCTCTGCACTCAGGAATCACTTCTGGAGGTGCTCAGGGGACCATATGGGATGCTGGGAGTCGAACCCGGGTTGACCACATACAAGGCCCTACCCGTTGTACTATCATTCCGGCCCTGACTCTTTTTTGTTTTTTAAATAAAAGTTGCTCACAATATTTGATTATATTTAATATTCAAACACCAATCCCACCACCATTACACCTTCCCACCACCATATTTCGGTGTTTCCATCCCAAACCCAAATCCCTGCTCCCAAAGCAGAACCAAAATAATTTATTTTGTATTGCTTGTTAGGAATAATCCACTAAAAGTGAGACCAAAAAAAAGGTTTTCTTAGAGGAAAGTAGGGTATGAAGATTGTTGTACTTCACCCAGGAGCCATTAAGCCCTTCTATAAGAGATCAGTAACTTGTTGATAAAGGTTAAGCCTTGTGTGCTTTTCATTATATATGTGTGTGTGTGTGTGTGTGTGTGTGTATAAATTTATTTCCCCCTAAGATTGGTTGCCTTCTACTTTAAGCCCAACCAAATGTGGTGTGCTACTCTTGGTATATATTGGTGATGTAAAGTATGAGCACTGTAACACTGTCCTCCCGTTGTTCATCGATTTGCTCGAGCGGGCCCAGTAACATCTCCATCGTGAGACTTATTGTTACTGTGTTTGGCATATGGAATATGGCACGAGGAGCTTGCCAGGTTTTGCCGTGCGGGCGAGATACTCTCGGTAGCTTGCCAGGCTCTCCGAGAGGGGCGGAGGAATCAAACTTGGGTCGGCCATGTTGGTCGTGTGCAAGGCAAACGCCCTACCTGCTGTGCTATGAGATGTCTAGGAATAGATTCGCTCCCAGGTAAGGCCCGTCCAACCGTGTAGAGAGTGGACGTGATCATGGCAGCAATTGAGTTCCAGAGATTTTCATCTGGGTTCCTTAGGGTAGGGAGGGGCCTCACCCACACCCCTCTGGGTTGCCCCAATTGAAACAGCCTGGCTCGGGGTCTGGAGGCATGGCTATGGTATATCGTTCTGTACTCTCTTCTGAGAAATTTATATTGAGTCTCTCGATTATGGCCATTAATGAGGTTATATTACATGCCTGACTCTTAAATGTTTTAGAATTAAGGGAAGCTTCTTTCCTCAAGTTTTTCTAATCATTACCCTGAAATCATACACTGTATGGTCATTATATTAATGTAATTGTTTATAGATAAAGTAAAGTAAAGGTCCTCCTGTTGATCATCGATTTGCTCGAGCGGGCCCAGTAACGTCTCCATTGGAGACTATGTTGTTACTGTGTCTGGCATATCGAATACGTCACGGGGAGCTTGCCAGGCTCTGCCGTGCGGGCGAGATACTCTCGGTAGCTTGCCGGGCTCTCCGAGAGGGGCGGAGGAATCGAACTCGGGTCGGCCATGTTGGCTGCAAGGCAAACGCCCTACCCGCTGTGCTATCGGATATTTACATTTAATAATTAGCACCAACTCCCCCCCCCTCCACCACCACCACCACATTGGCCTTTGGTCACTATAAATCACAGGCTTCTGACTGTCTAAGAAAGATACATATGAAAATCAGAGGAGAAAAACAATCACTACTGTGCAATTTAGACATACAGTGGTTCTCTGTGTGTGCGTGTGTGTGTGTGTGTGTGTTGGTTTGGAGGTCACACCCAGCAATGCTCAGGGCCTACTCCTGACTCTGTGCTCAGGGATCACTCCTGGTAGGGCTCAAGGAACCATTTGAATTGCCTGGGATCAAACCTGGGTCAGCTTCATACTAAGCAAGTGCCTTTCCTGCTGCACTATCTCTCTCTAAGTGTGTGTGTGTGTGTGTCTATGTGTCTGTGTGTGTGTCTAGTTTTGGGAAGCCACACCCAGCAGAGGTCAGGATTTCCTCGTGGCTCTGAGGTACTGGGGGACCGTGGAGAGAGTGGAAGGATGGACTGGGTCAGCCGAGTGCCCAGCCTTCGCCTTCCGGGGCCCTGTCCTGTTGCCCAGACCCCATGTCTGTTTGATGCTCCATTTTCCTCCCCTTAACCCATCCAATTCACCTGTGAATATAGGGGCCTATTCTGCAAACTGCCTGGAGCGCCCTCCATCCCTTTGTGAAAATAAATAAAATACCCCAAATATCCTGGGTACTTTCATGCCACTTGCATGAACCGCGGTCTCTTGAGTCCATTCACTCTCACCACCGTTCACCAACACAGTCAGGGCGTTCTGGGCAATGCCAGGCACCCCAGGGGTGAAATGGTAGGCAGAGCCCCACCCTGGGCTCCCGGTCACTGCTGGACTCTGGGCAGATGGGAGGGAGGTGGGGCCAGCACGGACCTGTCCCACCATCACTCCTCCCCCTCCCCCTCCACCCCCACAGTGCAGAGGCAATGACCAGGAGATGCTGCAGAGGGCGGGTCCTGACCTGGCAACTGTATGTGTTTCCTCCCCTCTCTACCCACGCAGGCCTGGGCAGCGGCATGGTCTACCTGCCCGCCGTGGTCATGGTGGGCCGCTACTTCCAGAAGCGCCGTGCCCTGGCCCAGGGCCTCAGCACCACCGGGACGGGCTTTGGGACCTTCCTGATGACGGTTCTGCTCAAGTACCTGTGCGCTGAGTATGGCTGGCGCAATGCCATGTTCATCCAGGGGGCCGTCTCCCTCAACCTGTGTGTCTGCGGAGCGCTCATGAGGCCGCTGGCGGCTGGCAGAGGGGGAGATGCTCCCCGAGGCAGGGAGGTGTCAGGGCACCCAGCCGTGCCCCCAGAATCGGTCCCCACCCTCCGTGGGCCTCCGGCTGGAGCGGCTGAGAAGGAGGACGGGGAGGCCCCGAGGGTGGAGGAGGCCCCTGCAGACCAGGAGCCAGCCAGGCCCCAAAAGAACAGCTGGGCCTTGCGAGCGCTGAAGAGCCTGAGCCAGCTGCCCCTGCGGGTCCGGGGGGGCTTCCGGGACTGGCACGCGGGCTACTTCGGCACCGCCTCGCTCTTCACCAACCGCGTGTTCGTGGCCTTCGTCTTCTGGGCACTGTTCGCCTACTGCAGCTTCGTCATCCCCTTCATCCACCTGCCCGAGATCGTCAACCTGTACCACCTGTCGGAGCAGAACGACGCCTTCCCGCTGACGTCCATCATCGCCATCGTCCACATCTTCGGCAAGGTCCTCCTGGGCCTCGTGGCCGACCTGCCCTCCATCAGCACCTGGAACGTCTTCCTGCTGGCCAACCTCACCTTGGCGCTCAGCATCTTCCTGCTGCCGCTCATGCACACCTACGCCGGCCTGGCCGTGGTCTGCGCGCTCATCGGCTTCGCCAGCGGCTACTTCTCCCTCATGCCCGTGGTCACCGAGGACTTGGTGGGCACCGAGAACCTGGCCAACGCTTACGGCATCATCATCTGCGCCAACGGCATCTCGGCCTTGCTGGGGCCACCCTTCGCAGGTGAGAGGGGGCGGGGCGGGGGTTCGCAGGGCTGGAGCCCGTGCTGTGTACATCGGGAGAGCTGGGTGTGAGCCCCCCACATTGTGTGGACCCCCGACGACCTGCGGGGGTAAATAAAGGCGTCCGGGAAAAGGTGGGAATCCAAGCCAGTAGCGGCCCCCAAGCTCTGCCAGCTGTGGCCCCCTAAACAAAGAAGTTGTGTGCTTGTTCAACATGTGCTTCCTACGTTCAATTTCTCACAGATACATTTGAGCAAGGGACGCTTGCAAGCTCATCCGTGTGGAATGAAGATGAGTTTCTGGGGCTGGAGCGATAGCACAGCGAGTAGGGTGTTTGCTTTGCACGTAGCCGACCCGGGTTTGATTCTCAGCATCCCATATGGTCCCCCGAGCACCGCCAGGAGCAATTCCTGAGTGCATCACCAGGTGTGACCCAAAAAGCAAAAAAAAAAAAAAAAAAAAAGGATGAGTTTCTGAGGGGCTGGAGCCATAGCACAGCCTGTATGGCGTTTGCTTTGCATGCGGCCGACCTGGGTTCGAATCCCAGCATCCCATATGATCCCCTGAGCACTGCCAGGAGTGATTCCTGAGTGCAGAGCCAGGAGTAACCCCTGTGCATCGCCGGTGTGACCCAAAAAGAAAAAAAGGAAAAAAAATGATGAGCTTTTGATATTAATTGTGCAGGATGAAGCCACCTGGCTGGCAGCAAAACAGGGCTTGTGGGGGCCGGGCACCCAGGTAGGGCTTGGAAGAAGGCAGCCCGTGCACCCCCCCCACACACACTCTCCGCCCAGCAAACTCTGATTTTCTCCTACCGAGAGACGGGGGGAAATTGCTGGCTACCAGCCCCTCTGTTGTTAGGTCCGTTTATGCCCCCTCTCTGGACTCTGGAGCACACCCTGCAGTGCTCAAGGAGTACTCCCAGGTCTGCTCGTGGGGGTGGTCCTGGCTCTGCTCTCAGCCCTTAGGGGTCACCCCTGGCTATGTTTAGGGACCATAAGAGGCGCTGGGGATGGAACCCAGGTCAGCTTCATGCAGGGCAAGTCCCCCACTGGCAGTACCATCTCTGCCGCACCAGTGACTTTCGTGTGTAGCTTAATCTCCTCATTCACGTAGTTGGCCACGTGCAGACCATGACACATGACTGATTCTTACGAGTATTCATTAAGGTAGAAGGCATGTTTCATGGTCTCTGAGGCTTTTTTCCACATTTTAACTTCTTGGGCATTGGAATACATTGTACAAAGTCCTAAGAAAGCATTGAGTCATGCGTTAATTTGCAGGTATTAAATATTCTTTTTATGGTGTGTTTGGATTTGGTACTGAGAGGCGACTCCTGGCTCAGTGCTTGTGGAACCATGTGGTGTCAAGTATGGACAGAAGCATCAGGTTAGAAGCCAGGAAATACTGTAAATTAGGTTATTGAGTTATTCGTCGATTGCCTCGAGCAGGCCCCAGTAACGTCTCTTTCATCCTAGCCCTGAGATTATATTCAAGGCTATTTAGGAGAATGAGACCCATCATTGTTACTGGTATTTGGCATATTTGGTACGCCACAGGGAGTTTGCCAGACTCTGCCCTGTGGGCAGGCTACATTCGATAGCCTGCAAGTTTGTCCAAAGTAGGAATGAGATAATAAGATGTCATAAAAAGATGTCCTGATAAGATGTCCACGGGTTCCGGGAGCTGGATTTTATAGTCTCTGAGTCTTGGCTGTTGATGGAATTACACGGCGCCAGGGGGCCAGGTGGTGGGTGTGACCCCCGCCTACTGGAATTTGGAGGATCTGGGTGGAGGATGCTCGACTCCAATCCGAGTAGGCTTGGAGATCTTGGCCCCGGAACCCACATGACTTTGTCCCTCTGCCAGTACCTTCATGTGTGCGGAGAGTGTTCTCAGCATGGTGGTGGCTAACCCCCTATAATGCCCCTATAATGCCGAGGTTATTGTGTAAACTCAAAAAAACAGCAACAGTCTATCTCTCCTGCTGCCCGCGTTCGGTAGTCTCGGGCAGCTTCCCCCACCCTGGGGAGGTCGATGGCGATGGGCAGGCAAAGGAAGGAAATGAGGGCCAGGCTGGTTGGTGTCAGCTGCAGTTTATTCCAGTCCTCTCACCATTCACTCCTGTCTCTCCTCTGCCTCCCCTAGTCCACTCTTACAGTCTCATTATATCCCCCAGCATGAGGGGTTGGGGTAACAATTACACATAGGTGTGGTCACAATCAATAGGGGCAGAGTTCTTTCCCTCAGGGAAAGCCGCTTCTAGGACAGATTCTCATTATGAGGTCGACCCACCCTAGAGGGGAATCCCCTGGGTGTGTTTCTCCTCTCCTTGTCCAACAAACATATAAGCATACATAATATAAATCATTTTGTATGGATACAGTAAGAAATACCTTAAATTTATAGAATTGTTCTCTTAGGGCCATCTCGATCTCAGACTACAGTGCTCAGGCCAGTTAGTCTTTCCTATCACCTAGCAGGGTCCTAGTCTCGTTGTGACTTTTGGATCATGAGAGCATCTATCCATGATCAAGCTCTTAACTGATAGCTAAGAATGGTGACACTTTGGCCTGGCCCATTTCGATGCCAGGTTAGCTCACAGCTTGCCCTGGGTCCATTCAGTCCCTTGTTGGGACCTTGGGGTGTTAGGAACTAAGGGCAACTGAGGCTTAAGCAGATGCCCTGGAGTGAATAATATTCAAAGCCAATTAAATCCTAAGTTTAACTGTCTTCCTGTGTCTTTACAAAAAGGACACTGCATTAAAGTGAACTATTCAAAAGACATAAGGAGAGGAGAAAGGCAATGTTAACTTGCAATACAATTTCAGTGTCCTAGAAGGATCTGACCTTACAAATTAACCAGATTCTGATTAGGGGAAAAGCTGATTAACTGGTTGGGGTGGAGAGCATAGAAGTGGTAACAGATAAGAAAGGAATGGAAGTGACTTGGGGGGCAATGTGATGGCTGTGACTCAATGAACCTAATCTCCTTGTGGCAAGGGGGAATGGGCAAGCCAGTGTTAAGCCTAAAATATTCGGAGCTATATTCCAACAGATTATGATATTCAAGTATTATCTGAAAGAACTGACCACTTCATCAGCATTGAAAACTGGGTTTTTGAAAAGGTCAGCTTATAAAGATAAATCATAAAGATAATTTATCATTGTAACTTATCAAATGATAAAGATACGTTTCAGGTGTAGCTATCCATGGGAATTTTATGAAACTCAGAATCTGTTGGAGTGAGCGAGAGTCACTCCCTCTGCCCCTGCCTCTTTTGATCACAAATCAAATCACAAATCATCCTGTTATTCGTCGATTGCCTCGAGCAGGCCCCAGTAATGTCTTCTTCATCCTAGCCCTGAGATTATATTCAAGGCTCTTTAGGAGAATGAGACCCATCATTGTTACTGGTATTTGGCATATTGGGTACGCCAAGGGGAGTTTGCCAGACTCTGCCCTGTGGGCAGGCTACATTCGATAGCCTGCAAGTTTGTCCAAAGTAGGAATGAGATAATAAGATGTCATAATAGGATGTCGCGCGGTTCCGGGATCTGGTTTTTATAAAAAAGTCACGCGGGTTCTGGGGCCGAGATCTCCAAGCCTACTCGGATTTGGGCCGAGCATCCTCCACCCAGATCCTCCAAATTCCAGTAGGCGGGGGTCACACCCACCAACTGGCCCCCTGGCACCGTGTAATCCCATCAGCGGCCAAGACTCAGAGACTATAAAAACCAGGCCTCTTTTGATATAGCCTCGGAACTCTTCAGAAGAGTCCTGGGGTTCTTTTTCGAAAAGATTTGTGGTTCTGTTGTGGGAAGGGGTAGGATGAGATTCCCATGTTGCTCCAGGTCTGAGCCAGCCTCAGAATTAGCCTGAAGGGCTGCATGGTGCCAGAGGACCCGGGTTACCTCTCCCTGGGTCCCTGCCCATCCAGCAGACTGGCTGTCATGCCCACAATTTGCCCCCGGGTGCCATCTTAGTGCACCAACAGCCCTGGCCCAGAGACTCCCAGTTGAATCCCAAAATGAATTAGTGCCATACAGAGACGTCTCTGGAACCCAGCCATTTACAATCTAGAAATTTACATTTATAATCGTGGCCTTGCCCGCTCTCATGATATTCACAATGAGCAATGGAAAATAAATTATCTACCCTGGCAGGTGGGCTTGAATGGTGGTGGGAAATTTCAAGCAAAACATAATGCCCCAAATGAGAGAGAGAGTATTGGGGAAATTGTCTGCCATAGAGGCAGGGTGAGGACTGGGATGTGTGTGGTGGAAAATGTGCACTGGTGGAGGGATGGGTGTTTCATCATTGTATGGCTGAATCTCAAACACGAAAGCTTTGTAACTCTCATGGTAAAGGTAAAGGTAAAGGTAAAGGCCCTCCCATTGATCGTCGATTTGCTCGAGCGGGCCCAGTAACGTCTCCATTGGAGACTTTGTTGTTACTGTGTCTGGCATATCAAATACGTCATGGGGAGCTTGCCAGTCTCTGCAGTGTGGGCGAGATACTCTCGGTAGCTTGCTGGGCTCTCCGAGAGGGGCAGAGGAATCGAACTCGGGTCGGCCATGTTGGCCGCGTGTAAGGCAAACGCCCTACCCGCTGTGCTATCGCTCCAGCCCTCGTTTCTGTGCCCGCTTGAGCAAATGACTCTCATGGTAATACAATTTAAAAAAAAAGTAATGTGGAGTTCATGCCCAATTTAGTCAGCTTAATCAATGGCTGAATAAATAGCAGCACTCCTACATTATTTAAAAAAAATTAGCCTGAGGGTCTCCCCACAACCCTTTTTTTTTTTTTTTGCTTTTTGGGTCACACCCAGTGATGCTCAGGGGTTACTCCTAGCTCTGCACTCAGGAATTACTCCTGGTGGTGCTCAGGAGACCACATGGGATGCCCGGGATCGAACCCAGGTCAACTGTGTGCAAGGCAAATGCCAACCCACTGTGCTGTTGCTCCACTCCCGCCTCCCCAACCCTTTGTGTCTGAGAAAGGATCCCAATGTCTTACTAGGAAAATGCAGCTAGCACCAGCCAGACACCGAAAACCAGTTTCCAGAATCTGCCCTTCCCCTAAGCCAAATGGGCCATTTGGCTGTTTGAGGCATTAAATCACTCATCAGTTCCTTATTGTAGAAAGCCGGCTGTCTGTAATAGTTGTTTGCTTTGTATTTCTTTATCCACTGCATTTCTGTGAATAGACTTTTTCCTTCTCGTTTGCAGGGTGGATCTATGACATCACACAGAAGTACGACTTCTCCTTCTACATATGCGGCTTACTGTACCTGATAGGAATACTCTTCCTACTCATTCAGCCATGTATTCAATTTGTCCGACAATCCAGAAAAAAGTACACGGAAGGGGTCCGCGTCTAGCGCAGCATTCCACGTGAGCATTCTCTGTGTTCACGCCTACCTCGTATGGCTGCTGTGGGGAGAAGTTGGGGCCCACCCTTTGAAAGCAGCTCTGAGTGGTTAATACCACGGTCTCTGCATCACTGGAAAGCGTTGCTGTCTCTCCATTTGGGGAGAAGCCATGCTGCGAGGTACTCAGGACCCCATGTAGGTCTTAGAGATGACGTGGTCCTTCAAAGATAGCCTGTGACATCACTTACCGACACTGTTCTCTCCTGTCACCCACCAGAGCTCAGGTTCTAGATAGAGCCTGTGTAACCAAGATTTTTTCAAACCGAGATTTTTCATTCCAACTCCTTCTACGGAAGCGGAAAATCAATATCTCAGTGCTTCTGGAAAGCTTACCAGATCAATAGGTCTTAAGCCCAAAAATGTGGCTCGGTTTCAGAAATGAATTGTCATGGGCAGAAATAGATTGGTCTACCAATGTAAAACAAAGGCAGGCTCTCGCTTCAAAGGTGATGTATCCTGCCCTATGAAAGATGCGCTTTCTAGTTTTACGACAGAATTCTGTAGTGAGGGAACATAGTTTCTATATCTTCTGGGTGGGAGGGGAGCAGAGAAACATTGGGATAAAAAAGAATCCTAATTCAGTATCCTACAGTTAGAAAGTGACTCGAGGTAAAACTTTACCAAGTAGATAATTGCTGATGACCTTCCTAGTGCAAGTCCTGTTCATACACATTGGCATTGAGTTAAGGGCTATAATTCCAACCCTTTGTCATCAGCCTGTTCATTTGGGAACATGGTCCATGGCCCATCACCATTCTGTTGGTTTGAAGAACAGTTTTGGTGGTTAAAATACTTCTGGCACATGATACTGACCTAGCTGGTCAGATGACGGAAGAGGGAGGGTAGGAATCACGGTAGCATTGGTCTTGGTGCCCGTGTGCCTGGCATTGGGGGCTGCTGGTTACTAGACCGTCCTCAGCCTGAGCATGGTCTGCTGTGCAAAGGAGAGCTAACTGCATTCAGACAGAAGCTCCCAGAGCCTCGGCATCCCCCCAAATACCCTTCCTTTATCTGAGACTTCTATTTTTCTAAGTCGTTTTTTTCCAGGCTGCAGAATGTTCTTCCCAGAATCCTCCCCGCCTTTTAAAAAGCATTTCTGGCTGCCTTACTGGTTTGCACAGATTTTTGAATCACTTCAAGTCTCTACTCACAATTGCTCATCACGAAGAAAATCCTTTCACAGCGTCTGTGGTCAAATTTACCCCAAAATGGAAACAGGTCATTCTTCATCATCCTGGGGAAATTTGCAGTGTCCTAGTTGCTGGAGTCACAGAGCCCCCCCCCCCCAGAGCTCACTGCAGATGGTTTCACCCGTCCCCACCGCAACTTAGATGCCATCAAACCATTTCCTCCCTGTTCATGATGGATAGTATCGACGTGTCTCCCTTTGTTTCAGCTCCATTATGTCCCGATCGTGTCGGACAGGGCACCCCCGATGTAACAATAATAATAAAAGGCAGCTAATGACAAGGAGAAGCGAAAGTGTAGCTAATAGGCACACTCGATATTACTGCCAATGATTCGCGGATGGCGTGTAAATTGTAATAGAGCCTAAATTGCATGTCATACTCCATTTGGTCCAATACGCTAATCTATTTGCTATCATTACAGTTTGGGCTGTTAAGGAACCCTGCTCTCTCTCTCTTGATAAAAGCAATCTTAAAGCTGAGGCAAGGCTCTTTCTCTCTCTCGCTCTCTCCCTATATATAGACTTCCCGTAAAATCAGAATTAGATTGAAAACCATGTCGAGTGCTTTAAAACTACTTCTTCCATCTCTCGTGCTCAAATTAACAAGAGGCAGGTTTAAATACTTTGAATGGTGCTATTGCTGATGCATTTTGATAAGAGCTCATCACATTTCTGGTTGTGCATCACAAATGTGAGTGAGTGTGTGTGTGTGTGTGTGTGTGTGTGTGTGTGGTGCTAGGAATCGAACCCAACTCTCATGCATGCAAGCAAGGAAGCACTTTACCACTGAGCCACATCTCTAGCCGAAATACAAATTTTCATCCAGGGATCCAGCTTTCCTTCTGCCTGACATATACCTACCAGCTCATGCTGTTTATACAGTTTGATTTCTTTACTGTAGAAGTCGACAGAAAGTCAAAACATGCTTACACTATCCACGTGGTCGACAGAATGCCAGAGAACTCTACCAATACGGAGAGCCAACAAAGGAAATGTCCTGTTAAAAATATATAATCTTAATGGTTATTTCAAGGTACTGTAAAAGGTTCATTGTCGAAGGTCATGGTTTCATGGTTCTCCCCCTCATATATCAAAGTTATTTTAAATTTACTTATGACTGAATAAATGTTGTCCTATTTGAAGATGGCTTTTGTGTACCATCTCTCTTTTCTTGGAAAAAAAAAAACTCCTAAAACAAAGCTGATGATTAGCCAACGCTAAGTCCAGCTATTCAATGTAAAGTGCATATGCATTTTAATCTGGCAGTTGCATCTCTAAAATGTTTTACCGCCTATGAAAACAAATGAGAACAAGGATTTTTGATGTCCTGGTTGTTGCATGAAAAGTTGGACATCATTTTAACGTCCATCCTTTGGGAATAATTAGATCTGGAAGAATGGTACATTGCAATTTATGTAACTATTTGCTTAAAAGATTCCAGGGAAAACTAGAATGCTGTTTTCAAGATCAGTTTCAAAAAGAAAAAAAAAAGCAAGAGGAAAAAAATGACACACTTAATGTTCGGATTATTATGCTATTGCGAACAACCCACGAACGCATTTATTTATACAGCTTGTCTACGTGTTGGGCATTTCTGAAAGGAAATAAGAAAACGGCCTCAGGAGAGGAAACTCTGGGACATCTGGCTTCTTCCCTGTGGCCGTGATACTGTTCCGATTTAAGACTTGTATCCAGAATGATTTCCAACACAGGTTCCGGAGTCTCCTTCCTGGCTTTAAACCATGGGGGTGAGGGGTGGAGGAAAACCCGTGGTGGTGAGGAGCTGACTCTGCCTTTGAGAGAAGCTTGTCTAGCAGCTGATTTTCTGGTGCCCTGAGACCAGAGACCCGCTCTCAACAAAACTAAGAGTCAAACCTTCCAATCCAGTTCAAATACTGGTCCTGACTCGCTGGCGTATTTCCTTTGTGCCAGCATCCTGGCTAACAACTATCTGGAGAGGACTCGTGGTACGTAACAACTTCTCCTGCTAAGCCGTTCTGCTTACGAGGTCCTTTTCCAATCAAGAAACGCCATCTGGGCTTCCATCAGAACTAGGCAGAGCTCCTGTCCTCGGGGGGGATGGATGCCCGCAGGAAGAAGCTGCAAGAGCAGAGCACCGAGTCCAGAATGAACTGTGACTTGTAACAGCCTCGCTCAAATGATGAGGGCATGAAAGCGACAGATTCCGTCAGACCCCCTCAAACAGTTGAACTGCCGCTGGGGTATGACTGCTTGTCAAACGAAGAACACGGGCAAGCATAAGGTTTTCACTTCTACAATGCTTGGTTCTCAAACCCCTTTCCCAGTCCTAAAAACCAACAAAGACCCAAAGAGTTTCTGTTTTAATAGGCTCTACCCAAATGCCACCATCAACCGGGAAAACAAACAAACAAACAAACAAAAAAAAACAGAAATTTTAGAAATATTTATGTACTTCTCTAGAAAACAATAATGAGCTCCAGATTAGTGTAAAGAACACACTTTTATAGAAGTAACCATATGCACCTACGCCCCCCCTCAAAAAAAAAGAAAATGTTAGTGGCCCTGTGTGATATTCTTGTGAATTTATTTATCTGGCCTAATTCACAGCTGGATTCTTAAATTTGCTTCTGCATTCGGTCTTTTGTGATAAATGGTTCTGGCTGGCCTATATGAAGAAAATTCAGCCTCAAGCCATACATAATGGAAAGGGGAGGAGGACTTTGAATAGGCTTTACAGATAATTGTGGATTTTTGTAATACCACATTGAAACTCGACAAATGCTCTTCCTAGAAATCTGACACCATATCAATAAACTTTTCATACAATGTTACATTAAAAACCAGCCATCTGCCTTGTGCTTTGTCCATTTGTGATGTTATAACAATGCTTTTGTCATTTGGAAAATATCGGTCCAGTGCGTTTTTCCAGCTTTGCCAGATATTTTTGATTTACATGTACCTTTTGGTTGTTGCGTGGTACCATTGGTGTGAAATGCCCAGAACGGGTGGATTTCCATGTAGCTAGACAGTTATATAATTCATTGTCCAGGTCAGAGAGGAGAACGGAAGGTGAGTGACTATCAAAGACACAGAGTGTCTTTTTTTGTGGGGGGCGGGTGACAGAAATATCCTGGCCTAGAAAACAGTGCTGTTTGCACAGATTTGGGACCCTATTGCAAAACAGTGCTGTGTATACAATTTTTTTTCTTTTGGGGTCACACCTGGCGATGCACAGGGGTTACTCCTAGTTCTGCACTCAGGAATTACTCCCAGCAGTGCTCAGGGGACCATATGGGATGCTTGGAATTGAACCCGGGTCGGCTGCGTGCAAAGCAAATGCCCTACCTGCTGTACTATCATTCCAGCCCGTGTATACAGGTTAAAAGGGTAATATCACAGCAGGTAGGGCACTTGCCTTGCACACAGCCGACCCAGTCGACCCTGGTTCGATTCCTCCGTCCCTCTCGGAGAGCCCCCACCCACCCCCCCACCCCCCACAAGCTACTGAGAGTATTGTGCCCGCACGGCAAAGCCTGGCAAGCTAACTGTGATGTATTCAATATGCCAAAAACAGTAACAAGTCTCACAATGGAGACATTACTGGTGCCCGCTCGAGCAAATCGATGAACAGTGGTAGGACAGTGCTCAAATTTTATGTGAATTGGCCACTGGGAAGCGGTATTTGATACAGTCTGAAACAAAGGAAAATTTTTTCTGACCTCTTGGGTCCTTGGACTGGTCAAGTAATCAAATCAGTATCTGAGAGATTAGCCAGAGGGGGGAAATATAACACTGAATTACACGGGTCTGGGGGAGATGTGTGGGGGTCCCACACAGACACGGACTCCAAAGCCAGGGGGGATAAAACGGGGGTACAGATCCTGAGTCTCACTCAGAGAGCAGCTTGGGGGTTCAAGAAAAAGGAGGGATTCTCACATAAAATTTGTTTAAAAGAATTTTATTTATTTCTTTTTGGCTTTTGGGGTCACTCCTGGCAATGCACAGGGGTTACTCCTGGCTCTGCACTCAGGAATTACTCCTGGTGGGGCTCAGGGGACAATATAGGATGCTGGTGATCGAACCCGGGTCAGCTGCATACAAGGCAAATGCCCTCCCCGCTGTGCTATGGATCCAGTCCCTCTCACATGACATTTTAGCATGAATAGATATATATGTAGTTTTATATGTAGTTTATATATATATGTATATATATATATATATATATATGTAGTTTTAGGCACTGCGGTCTACAATAGTGATAGCACCGGGTTCCGTGCAGTAAACATCCCACCCTCCCTGCCCGGTTCCTCCCTCCACCCCCCGACTACAGACCAGGTCCCAGTTTCTGTTGCCTTCGGGCATGTGTTCCTCCCCCGCTGTGGTTCTCTATGTCCCATATACGTGGCAGACCATCCCATGTCTGTCCCCGTCTTTCTGACTGATTTCACGCAGCAGGGTTCTCTCCAGGATCCAGCCACGTAACAGGAAAATGGCATGATTTCATTTTTTTCTTACAACCAGTAGGATGCTGTTGTGTCTCCATCCCCTCGCCTCTGTATCCGGTCATCTGTTCTTGGAGATGGGATTGTTTCCAGAGTTTGGCTAATCGTGAATAGTGTTGCAGTGAACACAGGCGCACAGGTGGTGTTTCAGAATAGTTTTGGGGGCCCTTGAGGTAGATACCAAGAAGTGGGCGTTGCTGGGTTATCTGGAAAATCATTCCTCCCGTTTTGCGTAAGTGTCTGTATTGTTTTCCCAAAAGGCTGGACCAGGGGGATGGAGTGATAGCTCAGAGGGTAGGGTATTTGCCTTGCATCAGCTGACCCAGGTTCGATTCCCAGCATCCCATATGGTCCCTCGAGCACCGCCAGGAGTAATTCCTGAGTGCAGAGCCAGGAGTAACCCCCATGCATCGCTGAGTGTGACCCAAAAAGCTCCCCCCGCCAAAAAAAAGGGCTGGATCAGTCAACTCTCCCAACTTTCCCCACATCCACACCAACTCCGGCTGTGTCTGTTGTGTCTGATGTGTGCCCGTCTCCCTGGTGACATGTCTGTGGAGTTTTGATTTGCACCCGTGTCTGTGCACTAGAGCATATGTAACTGAGATGGCCAGAAGGTGAAAAGCATGGGACAAGTCGGCTTTTTTTTTTTTTTTTTTTGCTTTTTGGGTCACACCTGGCCATGCACAGGGGTTACTCCTGGCTCATGCACTCAGGAATCACTCCTGGTGGTGCTCAGGGGACCATATGGGATGCTGGGAAATCGAACCCAGGTCGACCACGTGCAAGGCAAACGCCCTACCCGCTGTACTATCACTCCAGCCCCAAGTCGGCTTCTTAAATGCAGC